TGGAGGAGGCCAGGAAGATAAGTCACGTCTACTCACGATGTCTGCTGCCCAGAGATCCCAGGTGTGCCTGTAGAATGCCCTCACAGCGAGCAAGACACAGCTCTTGAAGCAGCATTTGTGGCTAGCGTTGCTGGCTCTTAAAGAGTCCACTGAGCACCCTTCCCAGGATGACTTGCTTCTGCTTTATGCTGCCGTGGGGTTGTTTATCTATGATGCTTTGTGGGTGGGATGTGGTTTTGTTACTGCTCCATTGTTGGACTCTGTTTGGGCACTCTGCCCGTTTATGATTAATGATGTTTTGAGTTGAGACTCTAAGGTGCTTTCAGGCATGCTCCAAGTACCAGCAGTAAAAGAGGTATTGTTATCATCAAGGTACTTCAATGTAATATCAAATGTAATCAGAAGTGAATTAATTAAAACTGTATGTACATATAAGTCCTTTTATGGTGGATGTTCAAGCAACTCATATGGCATAATTTAGAGCTCAGTTTTTTAGACTTTTGTAACCCTCTTCTCTCCATGAGAAGGGGGTAACTTGGCAGTAGACTCCAGGACTGTTGTCAGAGGGCAAACCTCTCCTGCAAAGGCCTCTTAATGAAACATGGCTCTAGAAACAAGTTAGGAAATTGTGTGTATTTGTTGATTCTGGCTCCAGCATGGTTTAGGGTTAATTCTTATGGCTTACACAACTAGTGTAGACTGGGAGCTAATGGTTACTTGGGTTTTATCTGACCTTGGAGTGCGCAAGAACCTGTAGAAAATCGGTATTTATTGTTGGTGTCAGCTGTACCAGGATTAAACCTTCCTTTCTGCAGCATGGCATACTCCTGATGTTGTTGTCTGTTAGAAAAATTGCCAGAAATGCAGCTGCTTCTTCTGTCCAACACCTCAGGCTTTGTGAGGCTGGTGGTTCTTCACCCCTACAGAGAAAAGACTTGAATTTGGATAGAGTAGGTTGACAGGATTGCAAGGTGACCTAAATGATTGCCTGAAGCTACCTGTACCTCAGTCTGACAAGCACAGCCAAAAATCTCCTCGCTGTTTTTTTGAAGCCAGCAGCAGTGGTGGCTGAGCAGTGTGTGTGGCTAAACTAGCTGTGGAGGAAGCCATGAGCTGGGAGACCAGAACTATGACATTCAGGTGATGAGGAGCAGGTGATGAAACGGCAGCTTCAGCCCAGCCTGCGCCAGGATGATGGGGTGACTTGGATGGCCCTGGTTCGGTGCTTTGGCTCTGACGAAGGCTGTACTAGCCGTATCTGAGCAGCACCTGTGTGGAGGAGGCTGGGCAGCCAGGAGCTGGTGGGAACATGGGGAAGTTGGACCTGGACCCTGCTTGGTATACCTCTGAGACTGTTTTCAACGGATAGTATGTTATCTTAATATCTATAAAGCTGGTGAGTTTGTTTTCCCAGCACGTTTCAAGAAAGTACCAAACAGGGAGGAGATTGAAACGACACAAAATGTTCCAAGCACTAAAGAAAGGGGACGCTTTTAAAATCCTCATGTCTGCTTGAACGAAGCTCGTGACTTTCTGAGCTGCAACCCTCTGATTTGGATAGGTCAGGCATAGGAAATAGGTCAATGCTGAAGCTGAAAATGAACCAAAATGCGAAATTTTGTCTTTGATATAGTGAAGTATTAGTACTCTATGTGCTGCGTTGGTCTCTCAAGCTACTTTAGTTTACTTCTGGAGAAGGTTGAAAGGTGATTCCTTCATAGTTTACAAGTACCTAAAAAGGAAAGAGGTTTCTGGTTGCTAGACAGGATTCAAATTTACCAGAGAAAGGCAGAGAGATCTCTTGGCTGGAAGCCAAAGTTAGAGAAATTGAGGCTAGGAATAAGGGCTGCAGTTTAAACAATACGAATAAAAACCAGTGGAAGGTCTTTGGCTGGCATTAAGCAGACTCATCAGCAGTTAATGGCTCTAAATCAGGATTTCTGTGTTTTCTAAAAGATGCAGGAATTATGAAGAGAGTCTTTCCAGTCCAGAGCAGCCCTTCAAGGAGACCAAGGCTGGGCTTCCCTTCCGACCGGAGCAGCCTGTGCATGGCTCTGGATTCTGTGTCCCCAGGCTTGGGGCTCTGCCTGCTCTTCCCGTGCTGCTGTCCAAGCCCAAGGCACGCTTGTGCTGTAGCAGTCGGGCACACAGATGTGCTGGGCGTCAGAGAGCACAGCTCGCTTTCTTTGTGCACAGTGCTTTTCCCAGACACCATCCAAACTATTTCTGGGTTGGATTTCCCTTTCACTGGCCTGTGTGATTCAACCAGGGAAATACAGTCCATGAAGTGTGGCTTGCAAACCAAATACCCGGTCCTTTTCCCTCCTGTCATAAGACAGCTGAAGACATGCCATCTGAGGAGGAAACATATTTTTCTCCCTTTTTCTGGGCAGGACTCTGCTGGAGGGGTGTGATGCAGGCAGAGCCCCTACCCTGTGTGAGTGTCAGCTCCATCTCTGGCACACGTGTCTTTATACCTGCTTATTTAGGAATGTCCTCTCATTTATCATTGGTGGCCAAGAGCACAAGGTGCCAGAGGTGCATACGTTTGGGTGAGATGTGATTCACGTCCATAGGGACGAACTGGGGAATGGAGGTCTTGGAAGGTTTCTTGCTTGTCCTTGGCCCTCTCCTTCAATGATCTCCAGGTTTCTGGGCTCCATTCTGCTCTTGCCAGCATTTTCTGGGGAGAGGGCCAGGGCTGACACATCTTTCTCCCAAGCCATGCTGCCCACTTCATAGTTCTGCAGACTGCAAGCCTGGAAATAATATGAAGCAGATGCACCAATGCCAAGGTCAGGACCTTCCCAGTATTTAAGGCATATGTGTACTGTTGGCATGGTACAGGGTGACCTCGGTGTGCAATAGGAGCCAACTGACACACACATTCAGACAGAATAAATATTTGACAGCCTATTTCTCTATTCCCCAAAATGACCCCTATAAAAGCAAGGTCCTGTTTACCTTCCCGGCTCTCCATGCACAGTGTTCTGAGAAGAGACAAGCTCTCTTCTCCATTCATTGCCTTCCCGCTCTTCTGGGCGACCCATTTCCAGGCAAGAATCAGGGATATTTGCTTCACAAAACCAAGGACACCTTGGATTTTCACAGAACTCTTGAAATTTGGGGAAAGCTGAGAAGTCTCTCTGTCTGTGCCAAAGCCCAGTGACCTGGGAAACAGTGCAAGACATCAGGGTGCAGCCTGAAGCAATTGCCTGCAGCGGTCCAAGTGGTTTTTGGTGTGCCCCTGCCCCATTAACATGTGTGCAGCCCTCCCCATCCTGTTGCCTGTGGCAGGGTTTATTCTTTTTACCTTGGTGTGCTAAACATGCTTCGGTCACACTCCTGGATCTTAGATTTGCTTCTATGCCTTGGCGCCAGTGTAGCTGCGCAGTTCAGAGTCAGCGGAAGGTCTGGCGTGCTTGGGACCAGACCTGCTGCGTAACCCACACACACGCTGATGGGCATCTCTTCTCTCACGGTTGCAGACTTCTCTGGGTTTGCCTTTCAGTCGCTGTGAGCTTTGCCCAGCCAGTTCATGTTACCCTGAACTGTTCCATTTATGTCCACGTTTGTACTTTTCGATCGAGGACAATGTAGCTTCTTATACCCTCGCACATAAAACAAAGGAATATAAGAGTCCTCAGAGCTCCCTACCACAGGAGCATATGCCTGATGATTACCGTGCTTTTTATTTTGTATAAGATCACTTTCAGTGAAAACAGTCTTTAAATAAAACCAACCTACGATAACTTGGCATGAAGAATGAGTGGCGACATACGAAGGTCTATAAAATAGCGGTTCCTCTAATGAAACCCATCCAGTTCCTCCTCCTTTGATTGCTCTTCCATATCACAAGATCAGAATGCACCAGGCAATTAAAAGATGGCTTGTGCATATTAGTCAGAGGAAATACTTTGTCTGTAACACATCTTAGACAAGTGGAAACCATTGTTGCCAAAGTTCTTAAAGCAAAACCACCAACTTGCCATTTTCTTCTTTAAGGTTAACACTGAGGATGAAAAAGGGAGCTAGAAGAGTGCAGAGCTGACAGTTGAAAGAAAAATTACAAGCCTGCTAATCCTTTCTTGTCAGGTTTAATATAAAGCCTGGCAGAGATTGATAAGAAGTGTCTCCCTCTCTGCCTGGTGCTCCAGGTGCAGGGTAAAATCACCTCTCTGAAACATCCAGGAAAGCTCACGTGCAGAGCCAGGCTTCAGACTGGAAAGGCTGCTGGCCAGTCTGGCATTGAACATCCTAAGACCATTTTAAATAGCTTTATTCTTTCACTTTTCTAACTGCAACCTGAAGAATAGCTGTCCCTTCCCTTCTTGCCCTTTATACATGCCGGTTTTCCTTGCAGCCCCTCTCAGTGGCTGTTGCTCCGCTGCTGACGCTGTTGTGCGTCCGTCTCAGCAGCAGGCACGGAACATCTGCGGCACACACTGCTGGGGGACGGGGGACCACTCCCTGTGACCTGCCCCTGCTCCTCCTGCAGCGAAACGCTCTGACTGTGGCTGGTGGGGTTGTGGGGTTGGTAGCCTGCCCGTTGGCAGCAGCAGAGGTCATGTAGGTGTTGGTAATCATTGGCAGCAATGGCAGGATGCAGGGAAAAATAGTCTCTGAAGAGCCTGAGCTCCTGTATCCCTGGCTCTGGCCTGGTGGGAGAGCATGGAGAGCAGAGCAAACTCCTGCGCTAGCAGGAGGCACGTGGGTCCTGCCTGCTTGAGTAAGGGTAGCCGTGGAGCAGTCCAGTCTGGCCACGTGGAGCAGAGAAAAGAGCGAGCCACGCTTGGGCGCTCCCTCTGTTCCCTACGTGGATGTTTCCGACTCTGTGCTCCTTCCCTGCAGGTGTGCTGGTAAAACCTGGGGAGCCGAGCTGATGTGCAGCGGGGGCAGCAAGTGCTTTTCCCAGGGGAGGGGGCTCAGTGGGCTCACATTGCTTGTGCACAGCCTCTGAAAGAGGCTGGTTTCACATTGTCTGGTTTCTCTTTTTGTAGCTGTCCCTCCCAAACTGAAGAAACTGAAAAGCCCAAACGTTCATGTCGGTGAAAAGATTTCACTGAAATGTGAGGCGACTGCTGGAAACCCTCAGCCATCCTACAAATGGTTTAAAGATGGCAAAGAGCTGAAGAAGAGCAAAGACATCCGGATCAAGTATGGGAATGGGAAGTAAGTATGCTACAGGGCTGGTCTGCCTCTGCTCATTAACACGGAGTGTCTGGGTTTGGGGAACCATCTGGCTAGAAGTGGTGCTGTGCTCTCCAAGTCACTACTGAGCAATACTGAGATGCTTCCTCGGGGTCACAGGATGATGCACAACCCATGCCCAGGAGAGTGAGCAAGATTCCCAGTCTCCTCAGAGAGTAGTGGAGGCACACACAGGACAGATGCTGGGTTTGTAGATGGGGCTCTTTTTGGGTAATTGTCATGGATCTCTGAGATGGGCGTCCGGTGACCTGGGGAAATAACCCTTCCCCTGCTAGCACTAGACTGGTTGTAGGCAGCTCGGGCTACCTGGGGTGAATCCTGCTTTGTGATTCGGGGTTTGAATGCAGGAGCTGTGTAAACTCAGCAGTCACCCCACCAGCCAACAGCAGGCCTGCACAAACGCGGGAGGAATCGCTGTGTTCCCTCTTGAGTTTAGGTGGACTTGAAAGCATCCGAAGCAACGGCAGGGGTACAAGGGACACCACGGGACTGAGCGATTGGGGCCCACAGGCACCTGCCAAGGCCTTGTCTCATGCAGGGCCTCGTGTCGCTGCACCCAAGGCAAGCTCCATTGTGGCTGCCCCAGACTCCCCACACAGCGAAGCTCTTGGGCAGCTGCTCTCGGTGAGTGTCATCCCAGGGACCCCCTCCTTCAGGCAGTGCAAAAACACCAGGAGGAATAGGCCCCAGTGACTAAGCTGAGGGGTTCTCACTGGGAATTGATTTAAATGGATCCGTGTTGATATTTTTCAAGGCCAAATATTTACATATGATGTATCTTTAAATTATTCCATAATTGTGACTATGCTTACATTCATATATCCTGACCTAGCCAGCAACAAAGTCAGCTTGCAACTGTCCGACCCCTTGTAAAACTTGAATCTAATTATTTGCTAACATATGTTATGTCTGAGTGTGTGAAAAGTATCTCATCTCTTCTCGTTATGGACTTGATAGAGTATTAATTTTTAAAATTTGAAGCCGCTAGAAAATCAGTTAGAAAAATCAGTTGGTGCTCAGATGGGTCATTGTCAATTCCTCTATTTCAGTTTCAGTCCTCTTGTTTGTGATTTCAAAGTCACACCCAAAATGGTCGACCTGCTTTGTAATAACTGAAGGATTCACAGCTGGTTTGGGATGAGGCAGAGAGGGGGGCAGTGGAAGGCTTCGGCTAGAAACACCAGCGGATCCAGGATAACTGGCTCCTGTCTAGCGGATGCTGCCTGCTCGGGAAGGGCTGTCTGGGCTTGCAGGCAGCAGAGGTAGGGCAGAACTGTGCCTGCCTCCTTGCTGTGTTGCCCTCAGTATTTCTGTGGCCCTTGCTGCCTCACGGCCTCAGTGGTTTACCGACCAGTACGGGAGCTGGGATGCCCAGAGGAGTGTCTGCAGCACCCGCTGCAGGCAGGAGTGGGAAGCCTGCCGGCCCAGCCCGTGTGGACGCTGCACCCCTGCAGGCGGGCAGCTTGTGGGACCCTGACTCGCTGGTGTTGGGGTCTCGCAGCGGTGTTGGGGAGCTATTCCTCTCAGAGCCAGCGAGCAATCGGTGCCAGACCAAACACCCAGCAAAGCTCTCTGGGGAGGGACCCTGGCGATGGTGAGGAGCGCCTCTCGCAGCATTTCCCTGCTGTGCTCCCAGGGATCACAGTCCTTCCTTGCCTCCTGGCCCAAAGCTGACAGGATGACATCCCACCCACCTCAGTGCAGGGCCGGGGCACGCGCTCCGTGGGTCAGGGACATAAACATATGAAAGAAGGTTGATCTTCTTTCCTCAGGACACTGCTGTAAAGTCATAATTCTGCATTTACTGGTTTCCATGGCAACATGGTGGCTCACAGCCTGCCAGTGACAGGCCAAAGGCATGTGCATGCTGGAAGTGCTTCCTGCTGGCAAAATAAGCCCAAGGATAAACATTTTAAAGAAAGCTAAGCACCTGCCTCCTCCAGTGTCTGAGGCTCCCTCAGCAGCAAAGGTGTGAGACCAAAGTGTCCCCCACTGATCTGCCCCCGGAATTGCTTCCCATCCCTGCTTCTGCCCGCTGCTGCCAGTAAAATATGCCACTAAGGGGAGAGGTTGCCTGTCTGGGGCTGGAGCCTGGCTATGGAGACTAGCAGCTGTTGAGATGGGACAGCTCTGAGACGATAACCTGTTGTTGACTGTTTGCCCCTTGTTGAGCTGTCAGCAGTGCAGGAACACTTCTCCAAGAAGATCTGGATGGGTCTGTGCACACCTAGTCTGGCATCCTCAGCTTTCATGCTCTCCTCTCCACTGGGTTTGCTGGGTCTCAGGGCTTGAAAACACCCCAGTGACAGAGTGCTCACTGACATTGAACTTGCCTCTTTCTGGTTTTGACTGCATGCAGTAAACATGAAAAACGGCTCTGTGCATGCAGGCTGAGGATCAAGGGAGCCCTCATGACTTTGCCTATCTCCATTAAGTAGTTCGTGGGGCTGGATTTGGTAGAGGGACCCAAAACTGGACATGGGATATGGGCATATGTCATTACTTCCAGCATGATAGGAGGGGATTCCAGGGAAGGATAAGCATACTAAACTGTGAAGCTCAGAAAGGAAGTCTCACTCTATGATTCAAGAATAATGGGGTTTATATATCTGGCTTCAGTTAGAGATAACACTGGCCTGCAGATGATCCTCTGCTCTTCCTTTCAGTTCAGACTGGAGTGGGGTTTCCAGAGGGCTAGAAATAGAACACTGGGGAGGGGCCTCCATAGAGAAAGTACACAAGGCAAAAAGCTTCATGGAATATGTAGCACCTGGACAGGTGCACAGGATCATTTCTTTAAAAGCTTGATCCAAAGACCTGATCGAGTGTCTGCTGGAGCCAGGCAAAATGATGCCAGGATGTGGAAGTGTTGACCATGGTGTTTCCCTTGGCCCCGCGAGTCCCCGTCAGAGCTGGGCACAGCCCTGCGTTGGACTCGGTGTGCAACTCTGCAGTCCTTAGACAACAGGCAGAGGATTAGGAGGGGAGACAAGAAGAACATGGCTGCCCTCTGTGATTCATTCCTCTGCTGCTCTGTGCCTGCCTTTCCTGCCTGTGTGTTTAAAGAGCCCTGAGATCTCTAACTAGAAAGCAGGACTGATTTTGTGATCAAGTTTTCATCTGATCCCACTGTCTTTCCTAGAGAAGGAGATCTTTTTGAAAATAAGGGAAGTGTATGTTGTAAGGAGGAGAGGAGCCGTTAAGTGCATGTCGGCTCTCCAGCTTTTCCATCAATCATCTTCCCTCTTGTTTTTTAAACTTACCGGTAAAACTTCCGGTGCCATCAGCCAGAGGACTAATTTTTTTTCAATGGATATTTGCTGGAGGGAGGGGAACAATTCTGATTCCTCCTTTCTGAACTGCATGTTCCATCTGTAATTAGTAACAGGCTGAGGCAAGCCTGGCTTGCACAAAGAGGAAACTTCTCTTTAGGGTTTAAGAAATTACTAGCTGGAATTTTATCTCCAGCTCAATTTAAATAAACTATGGTTGATGGGGAACCTAGAGAAATTTCCCAGGAAGAACTGCATGCAGTAGTGGAAGTACAGCATAGTGAATGGCTTTCCCTCTGAGCTGCCAAAGTGATACCGTTTTCTGCCGAGTGTGTCTGAGATCTGATGGAGGCCACTGGCTCCCAAGAAGTTAAGGTTGGGTTTTGACTCTCTGGCTGTTCTGGCAAACGGTCACATGCCAATTGTGGAGAAAGCCAAAGGAGTTTCTGTTTGTGGAGGTGTAGAGGACCTGCCCCGCTTCAGGCTGTGCTCAGGGCTCAGCCGTGAGACACGTTGATCTTCAGCTGGAGTCAGGAGGGGTCCAGGAGCCCGGTAGTCTCCTAGCTGTGGCTGTCCTTACAGCCTCTTCTCTTTCTGTGCTGTTTTACCACGGGAGATTGCTGGGGTGATGAAGCAGGCGTATCATTAGATCGGAGAGGGTTGGCAGTTCAGTTTGGGACAGGCTGACCGTATGACATCCCTTGGGAGTAGTGTCCTACTTTCAGTATCACCAGGAATCCCTATTGTTAGCCTGTAAGTGGAGCCAAGGGATACCCTCCTCTCCTGTTTCTGTACAGTAGTCCCTCAGGCAATGCTGGTTGGGGAAGATTCATTGCTGGGGTCTTCCTTGTAGAGCTCCCTGCTGTAGATTATTCCCCACCCACAATGAATGGGGCTGTGGTCTTCCCTGTACAGCTCACTGCTCTGGAATGAAGGCAAAAAATAATAATAATGCCAAAGCAGCAGGGGAAAAAGAGTGCCAATAAAGATAAATGATTTCCTAATTAAGCCTGGAGACAAGGAGGGGCAAAGAGAACTGTTGAAGCCTTGTGGGAGCCAGAGTGAACCCAAGCAGGCTATACCACCACTCTGGCAGGGGTCTTCAGGCTGACATTTTTAAACAAAGGAAAAAGCTCATTTGACAATGGATCTTGCAAGAGCAATTCCAGATGCCTTGAAGCTAAGACTCTTCTCAAGCACCGGTGTTGTTATAATCACCAGGGGATCTTCTGCCTTGCTAACTCTCACGATGTCATTATAAGTCTCCAATATTTGGGATTTGGTTTTAGCTGCTGAAGGCACTTTATTGGAGGGGGATGCGAAGGAGAGCATCTCCTTTGTTTTTCTGTTTGTTGTTTTAAAGGAGATGATGGACATCATCTTGGCCAATGCACCTGGGACTGAACCAGGGAATTTGAGAACTGAAAGGAGAAGCAGTTGGGTCTTGAGCTAGAACAATCCACAAAATTTGCAAGTTGGGGCTCCTGAGAGATTCAGGGAATGGGCATTTAATCGAATTTGACTGAGTTATAGTGGCTAACAAGTTACAGTCAGATGCTGGGCTGCTTCAGCTGATGGTGTGTGCAAAGTTAGAGGTGGAAGGAGCTTTATGTGCCTGAAATTTTGTGGTTTTTTTCCAGTGATGTTGGCTGCTTAAAAAAAATAAGATCTCTCCCTACAGACCTTAGC